TATATATATATATATATATATATATACCAGTGTAGATAACGAATAATAATGTATAGTTGTGTTTACATATGTGTGCTTTCATGGATTTATACTGATTGCTTATACTATGGAGTTCATAGAGCATACATGTACGGATAGGCTGGAAGCTGGACACTTTATATAAAAACGTCTTAGTCTTCGCTTAGGGGGCTAATAAGAAATGAATTGTTATTGCATCATGGTAACATTAATATTCTGAAGAACAAATGTGGGAATTGCCTCCCGAGTATACAAACTCGTATGAACTGATTATAATTATTCGACAAGGAAAAGAGAGTGATATGTCCTCTCTGGACCATTATCTTGTGCCTATGACTTCGTTTTTGTATCTACCACTTTAGAAGACTAAAATGCAGTTTACTGTAGTATTTCAATGCATTGTATTGTGTTTACAGGCTCGGGGCTCTACTGCAGCATTTCCCTCTTGTGTACCATTTAGTTCTTCGCGTCATTCTATTAAATTATCTTCACTTTACTATTTCATTACAAATGCAGCATTACGCTTTAAATACCATTTACTGGAGAACTAGCGCTTCGGAGTAGCATCTCCTGGAGAGCTCCTGCTAGCAGAGGGGCCCCCAACGGTACAGGGGGCCTCTAAAGGGCCCCTCTTTAGCGGCTGCAGTAGCGGAATACGGATAAGCTTCTTGTGTTCAGAAGTTACATTTTACCTCTTATATGCGATTTTTGTGCATCTATTTTGTCATTTATAGTTATAACAATTGCAGTGTACGTACATTTAGCCCCGGCTGTGGTCCCGGTCCCGGTGCCTAGCAGCGAACCCCCTCCTCGCTGCTGTACATATTTGCATTTTTCGAATATAGAGTAGAGCAAATAAGACACTTGTAATCTGGGCATTTGTTCATTTTAGCTCAATGAATCTGCAAAAGAAGGATTACGGTACATGTGCCCCGCCGACCCCTTGCAGTGCCGCCCTCTCTGAAGGAGAGGATCAACGATAGACTTTAGCTGTATACACACCAGGAACCCGTCGCTGCAGCACGAAGGGAACTACAAGCGCGTTTTGCCTCTCTGGGCTGATAGTTAGTGTAGGCTTTTTGTCCCATTTCTACTGAGAAAGGCGGTCCCGATCCGCCCTTCTGCTGCGCAGTACACACAAGAAGGGGCTCTTCCTATTCTTCCAGGCAGAGGAGGAGGAGAAGAAGAAGTACCAACAAAAACGGAGTAAGAGGAAAAAATACGGGGACAACAACCACCATTAACAAGAAGGCCGCTGGGGAGGAAAATAACGAAGAATACAACCCCCCAGAATCGAACGCGCGCGAGGCCTTTACAGTGGCCGCACGAATGGGCCTTCTGTGGACGCTCAGGCGGGACCTTCTAAGGAGGGGCTCCCCTGCCTTTAAGGTGGGGGTTTGGGTGGCGGGTATTGCTGGCGGGCTCTTTTGGATATACTTAGATGAGAGGGAAAAGCCCGTTAAAGAAAGAGCTGTCTTTCTGCCCGCAAGGAGAGAAGTGCAAATGGAAGAAGGAGAAATACGCGAATGGAACTTAAGACTATCGGGAGGCAAATTGCTGCCGCACAAAGACGGGAACCAGAAGCAGGAGCAGGAGCAGCAGCAAGAGCAGCACCAAGGACTTGAGGCTGCAAGAAATGCGGCACTTGCTGCTATCAAAGAGCAGGGACTGAAGCAGGAATCAGCGGAGAAACAGCAGCAGCAGAAGCAGCAAGGATGGTTCTCGAGTCTACTGGGGCTTGGCGACAAAGCACAAAACCCTAAAGCCAAGAAGGTGCCCCTCTTCTTCGACAAGTAAAAGCAACAATACAACTGTCTCCCTAAACCCTTACACCAACAGCAGTAGGTGCACCTGCTGCTGCAGCAACTGCTGCTGTCGCTGCAGCAGCGGAAGCTGCTGCAGCTTATACGGAAATGCTCATGGTGCGACTGTTCGTACTACTTAGGTTTGAGGGGGGGGGCCCACTACAGCCCAGGTGAGGGACCTCCTCCTCAAGCGAGGGCCCCCCCCAACTGTGCCTTCTTTGGGGCAAGCGGGGCCCCCGCCTGTTTGTTCCTGTCTGTTCCACTTTGGTGCTGCACCAGCAGCAGCAGCAGCGGCTTCTTCTGCAGCTTCTGTTGCAGCCTGCGCTGCTGCTGCTGCTGTTGAACGCGAGACGGGGACTTCGCTGTTTAGGTGCCGAAGTAGCAACCGGCTGCGGGGCCCCTCGGGGGCACCCCTGTCCTTCTTGCGCCTTCCATTTAGGGTTTTTTGAAGATGCATCAAAAGAATATCGAGTCGCTCTTGCGTCAATTTGACACTGAACAAGAGATCTAAGAATCTGTCCGACTGTACATACACCACACCACCACAACGCATGCAACACCATGCAGCAAAACACTAATCCAAAGGCTTAGATAACTGCACTAGCAGCTGCAGCTGCAACAGTTAACTCCATTGCTGTTTCTACTGGTGCTGTCGCTGCTGCTGATGTGGCTGCTGGCGTTGTTTTTTCTAGTATTCCTGCTCTTGGTGCTACTGTCCCGATTCTGTCGCTGCTGCAATTAATGCTGCTGTTCCTCTTGCTGTCTGTATTGCTATTGGTGTTGTAGTTAGTGTTCGTATGCGTACATGGATGGCCTGGAAGCGGGTGGTGGTAGAGGGGGAAAGGATTGCCATACAGTCATCGAAAGAGCCTTGCAGTAATTCCTCTCTAAAGTACAAAACAAGTGCTAGCGAAGCCTATAGCACAAATAGCAGCAGCAGCAAGACAATCATGTGAGGCAGTAGCGCCAACACCGCTGTGGCCTGCTGCTGGGGTGTGCACTGTCTTTGATCAGGCACCCTCAGCACTCCGCATCGCTGGGTTTAGGGTTCTGCGTCTCCCGCTCGCTGGGGTTTAGGGTTTGGTGTTTATTCTGTTCAATACCTGAAACAACACGGCGTCGCCCTTAATTACGAAGAGGTCCCACACCCGACCCAATAACTCGAACGGCAGACAGCTGGACACACGCAAACAAAACACCCACACGAATACGCTTATCAGCAGCAGCTGCATAAGCAGCTACAGAACCAGAAGGCACAGCTTGAAGGCGATACCGGCAGCAACCAGAACTAGATATAAGCGGCAGCAGCAACAGCAGGTTACCGAGTAAACAGGGTGTACATCCAGTCGACAAGAAAGATGTTTGTTTCAATACCCAAGTCATCAAAGTGCTGCAGCAACTGGGGGTCTCTTTCTTCTAGCAGCAAATCGAACAACCTAAAGTGCACCTCAACCAGCCCCATGTCGAAGGTGTAGAATGCATGCAAGGAACGCCGCAGCTGCATGCAAACGAATCCACAAAATAATATAGAGAACAAACCCTAAACCCTCCACCAAAACCTTCGTCCCCCTGTCTGTCCGATCACGAAACCTAAACCCTGATCTTTATTTACCATGAGGTTCGCGAAGCAGACAAAGGCGGAGTATTCGTCCATATACAGCAGCAGAGTTGCTGCAATAAATGCCATTCCTTGCACATACCCCAAGTCAGGCCTTAGCATCACATACACCTCAAGCAGACTCTGAAGAAACGCCTCCATCCTCTCCCCCCCAGACACCCCAAAGGGCACAGGAGCTACTGCCTGAGAATCCGCCTGCCGCAACCCTGAGGGGACCCCAGATGAACCCCCAGAGGAGCCCCTGGATGAATCCCCTCCTGCGGATGTCTCCAGGGCACCGTCGCCAACGGGGGGCCCACCAGATGGATCCCCTTTTGCACGCGGCTCAGGGCCCCCTTCCCGCGATGGAGGTCCCTCTCCAATAGAAGATGGAGGGAGAGGAGGATCTCGGGGGCCCCTCGTTGGGTTTGAACACAAAGAAGAGGTTTCGCCACTTGGGGAAGGGAGGGGGCCCCCCGACACAGACTCCTGACGAGGAGAGACACAAGTTGAATTTGACTCAGCACATGCTTTGTCCATGCTCCTATTGCTGCCGTTATTGCTGCTGTTATCAGCGCCAGCGGGGACTTCTGCAGCAGCAGCTGCTGCTTCACTGTCGCCAGTCTGAGGTCGCACAGGCGTCTCCAACGTGCCTGAGGAGCCATCGACAGCCGGTGCCGCTGCTCCTGCTGCTATTGCTGCTTCTGCTGTTGCTGCCACTGAAACCTCCGTGTTTGTCTTGGATTTATCTTCTGTTGACCCTCTCGAGCTGAAGACCCCAAGACGAGGGAGGGTGCGGTGCAGATCCGCAGATATCGCCAAGAAGGAACTAAAGATCTCCTCCTCCCACACAAAGGAATCACTGCTTCTGCTGTTGTTGTTGTTGTTGCTGTTGTCGGCCGTGGCAGCGTCTCTGAGCTCTGTGGTGGCCCCACACAAGCTGCATACAACAAACCGCCCCTTCACCGGCTCTGCTGTTGCGGATGGGGGGTCCCCCTGCGTTACGGCTGGGTCTGCTGCTGCTGCTGCCACTGCTGCTGCTGCTTCTACCTCCTCCATAGGGCCCCTGAAGCACTCGATTCTCTCTCTATATTTTGCGTTTGTCCGCAGCAGCTGCCGCCGCGCCAGTCCCATCCTTGCCCGCAGCAACTCGTAGTACTGAGGACTCATACGCAGCTGATCTCCTACAGCCTGCAGCAGAAACAGCAGCAGGAGCAGTGGACACGCCCAGCAACCGACAGCTCATGCTGAAGGGATAGCCTCGCAGCCCACGCATGCAGCTAACCCGTGCATGCACGCACGACTGTGTCTGCAAGCATGCAGCCCCACGCAAAGCCAGCCCCTCTATGCCTGACATAACACCTTCTCTGACCCCCCGCATGCATGCATCATGCATGCATCATCCATGCATGCAGGCATACAGGCGTACCCGCTTCCATACTTCTCCTCGAACATCATGAGGAACTCCCTTCCTCAGCATTTCTTCAAAAACCGCAGTTTCCTTCTGTCGGTCCCACTCAGGCAGCAGTCTATCCACCCAGACTGCTGACAGAGGCGCCCCATGGGGGGGGCCCCCCTGAGGGGGACTGCAGGGCCGACGAGCCCTGCCGTAGCGCCAATAAGATACACCTGAAGACTGATGTGAATCCGCTCCAGGGAAGAGGGCCTTGCCGCTGCCAAAGCGTTCCTGTAAGCAAACCCTAAACTGTAAACGCTAAATCGTAAACCCTAAACCCTAAACAGTAAACCCTAGACACTAAACCCTAAGCCCTAAGAATCGAATCGATATCCAAAGACAAGAACCCATGAGATGCTCATCGAAATACCAGCGAAAATGTCCCCCGTTCTATACCCTAAACCCTAAACCCTAATAAGCACCTTGCTAAAAAGAAGCGTTTTCCATGACCGTGCACCTGTCAGCCGCGGAAGGGCTGCGACTCCGCTCCGAGGATGATCTCGCTCCAAGGATTTCTGCTGCAGCAGCACCAAAAGAAGCAGCAACGAGGCAGACCTCAACACGCAGCAGCAGCATCAGCATCTCCGCACCTCAAACAAAGCAACAAGAGGAACAACAGGAGCAGCAGCACTCGCGAATTGCATCAGCAGAAACAACATCTCTTGTACCCCGTCGAGTGTCTCTGATGTCTGTTTCCTTGAGAAAAAGCCAGGGACCCCCCGGTGGGCCCCACAGACGCCGTGGCTATCAGGTAAAGACCCAAGACGAATAAAGTTGGATTTGTTTAGGGGCCCCCCCAGGGACCCCCCCAGGGATCCCCCCAGGGAAGTTACTGTGGAATACCCTAAGGAGCCTCCCTTGCTGCATAAGGATGCAATATCTTTACCTTGGGGGCCCTGTGCCTCCTGCTGCTGTTGCTTCTGGAGGCATGCGAGGCGCTCCGCAGGAGCTGCAGCTCCTGCTGATTCCGCTGCTATCGATGCTGCAGCAGCAGCAGCTGAGCTATCCGCTGCTACTAGTGTCTCAGATGCTAATTCTGTCGCAGTCTTTTGCTGCAGTAGACGCCCACAGAATCCACGTGTCTGTGCTGCTGCCGTTGCTGTCGCTGCTGCCGCTGCTGCTCCAGCAGGCAACCCTTTCTGCTGCTGCTGCTGCACCGCAGCAAGAGCTTCTTTGAGCTGGCGCACCTCCTCCTCATAACTGCAAATTGTCTCGGAGAATATTTCCCCAGCCAAGCGCTTCTCCTCCCGCAGCCGAGCCACCTCCAGCTGTACACCGCAGCAGCAGCAGCAGCAACAGCAGCATGCAGAAGATGTGGCTGTTTTTTGATTCCCTACAAGCCCTTCACGCGATACGGCAAAACAATAACAGAAGCAGCTGGAACGCAGCAACAACAGCACGAACACAGCAACTGCAACAGCAGGAACGTAGCACCGGCAGCAGCAAAAACGGAGTTACAGCAGCATAAAAAGTACAACAGCTGGAAGATTGTGGCGAGAATGCACCAACAGCAGCAGGAGGAGCGGAACAACAGCAATACCAAGACATCCGCAGCAATAAGCGACAACTCAGGCAGCAAGACACCGCAAATGCACCACCGGCCAGAACAACAGCTCCGGCGGCGGCAGCAGCAATCCAACGAACACAGCAGCAGCATGCGAACAGACACGGCAGCATCAGGAAGAGCAGCAGCAGCGGTTTAAGAAACAACTGCCTATATTACCTGAAGAGCGTCGATGGCCTCCTTAGATGGGGCTTCTGCATCCACAGATGCACCAGGCCCTGTGGGGCTGTCAAGTGACATCTGTGCCGCTGCTGCTGTTGCTGTTGCTGTTGCTGTTGCTGCTGCTACCACAGCTGCTGCAACTGCTGCAACAGCAGCAGCAGCTGTGCATGTATTCGATTCACCCCATGCGTTTGCTCAGCAGCGCTGCAGCTGCCTCTACTGCGGGTAACCCTACGACCTGCTGCTGTTGCTGCTGGTGTTGTTGTTGTTGCTGCTGATGTATTGCTGCTGCTGTTGTTGTTGCAGCTGTTGGTGTTGCTTTTCCTGTTAACGTTGCTGCTGTTGCTGCTAAAACGAACCCTTCTGCGAAGACTGCAACGGGAACTGCTTGCTCGCCGTTAACGGGGAGCTCCTCTTCCGCAACAAGATAAAATGCTGTTTGTTCTTCTGCTGCTGCTGTAACTTGTAGGAAAGCAACCTCGTCCTACTGCTGCTGCTGCTGCTGCTGCTGCTGCTGGGAGGAGGCCTAACCCCCGGGCGCGTGAGATCAACGAGAGGCTGCTGCTGCTGCTGCCGCTGCTGTCGCTGCCGCAGTGACTGAAATGTAGAGAGACTAAGAAGCTGCAATTTGTCCAGCCACAAGAGCAGCCGCAGCAGCCGCAGCAGCAGCAGGACCCCGAGCTCACGGGGCTGCTGGTCCTAAGGAGCATCTCGCGGCTGTTCTGTCTCACTGTTTACTGCTTGGTGTATTATTATTAATCATACTTTATTTATTTACATTTTCCTTTAAAACATCAATTAAGTTATCCTTTTAGTCTCCTCCATTTACTCCCTCGAAGGCAGGACGTCGTCAATGCAACAACAACAGCAGCAAGAGCAACACCGGCGGCAGCAACAGCTGTTGCTGCAGCTGTTGCAGGTGTTGCAGCTGCTATATGGTGGTCTTTACTTCCTCGATGATATTTACAGAGTAGGCCGAAGGCTTGTCACTGTTGAGGTTATAGAGAAGATTGGCTACTTCACCCCTAGTGTTTAGGGTTTAGGGTTTTCGCTTTGCTGCCTCTTGTCTACAAGCCAAAGTAGCTTTTGCCGAGATGCTGCTGCTCTTTTCGTTTTGGGGCTTTTATTGCATGCAAACTTGCAATGCTAAATATGGAGAATAAGGAAGTGGAAGAAAAAGCAGCAGCGCCTGCCCGAACGGCTCACCACCAGCAGCAGCAGCAGCTGTTGCTGCTGCTGCTCCTGAAACACGATACATTGGGCACTACAAAGGTCCAAATATCCAATCTCGCTGCATAATTGCAGTAAACTACTGCTGCAGCAAACTAATGCAGCAGCAAATTGCAGCAGCAGCAGCAGACTGTTGCTGCCTTCAGCTCAAGGCTCCTCTCGAGTCGGCTGCTGCTTTTGGGGGTTGGAGGAGCAAGATCATAAATGATGATGCTGCTGCTGCTGCTGCTGTTTCTGCTGAAGCTGCTGTTGCTGGTTCTTCTACTGGTGCTGCTACTGCTGTCAGGAACTGCTGCTGCTGCTGCTGCTGCGAGCACTTGAGGGACTCCTTCTGCGGGTCAGGAGGGAGATCAGGACAGTAGTTCTTTCTTCTATTGCTGCGTTTGCTGCTGCCTCTGCTGCTGCTTCTGCTGCTGCATGCTGCGCTACGTTGCGGTTGGCAAGCGTGTGCTGCCTCGGTCTCTTCTTCCTATTCTTCGAGGGCTTAGCTCTTTGCTGCCCTGTCCTGTCCGCCTAGCCGCAGCTAGCAGTAGCTAGCTGTAGCTAGCTGCAGCATAGAGCTGCATCTGGGCGTAGCTAGCTGGTGTTTACGGCCATGGCTAGCAGAAGCTACCTACAGTTATGTGCCGTAGCTAGCTGTAGCTATCTGTAGCTAGCTGTGAACCTCACAGCGGTGCCTAACTAGCTGCATTGATACCTCTAGCTACCTGCAGCTACCTGTAGCTAGCTGTAGCTAGCTGTAGCTGTTTACAGCTCCATCCTCCCAGACGGAACCGTAAACCCTAAACCCTAAACCCTAGAAGGCGACCCTTCGGCTACATTGCGTCACGCCCCTCATTAAGGAGGGCTGATTGAGGGTTTAGGGTTTGGCTTGCAAGACAAGATATATAAATTATATTAATATAAAGAATTATTATTTATATTTATTTATGTATATCTAATTTGTTTATCTGCCCGCCCCTTAGGCAGGCCTGCATGCAACAGGGCAGCAACTGTCTCCTTTTTTGTCTCCTTTTGTATATCCTCCAGTCTGCTGCAGTGCCCGCCTCCTCCAATTCCCTTCTCCTCTGCTGTCTCTCCTTCCTAGTGTCCCCTCAGGTGTCTCTTCAGCTCCAGGTATCTCCCCAGGTGTATCCTCAGCTTCAGGTGTCTCCTCCGGTGTGTTGGGTGCATACGTTGCCCCTCCGGGTGTCTCTACAGTTACCTTTTGTGTCTCCTTTTTACTTATCCAATTGTCTCCTTCCTCCAGGTGTATCTGCAGGTGTCTCCTACTGTCTCCTCAGCTGTCTCTTTCTCTGTCTATCCCTCCGTCTCTTTTCCCTCCCTCTAAATTCATATCTAAGTGTCTCCTACTGTTTGGTTTCCTGCTACTGCAACAGCAGCAGCAGCAGCAGCAGCAACAGCAGCAACAGCAGCAAAAGAAGCTTGTATAACTTAATGATCCAAAACAGCACCCAAATATACCACGCAGCAAATGCTGCAGCAGCAGCAAGATGTTAGCAGCAGCAGCAAATGTTCATTAAGCAGCATTTGCAGCTGAAGCAAATGCAGCAGCAGAGACTGCAGCAGCTGTCCCAGTAGAACACACCTGCTGCTGCTGCTGCTGCTTTTGCTGCTGCTCTGCTGCTGCTATGCATGCAACTGTTGGGCCTATAAAAGGGCCCCTTGCCTCCTCATTTATGGAGACACTCGGGTGTACGTACACCCTAAACATTCATTACATGCATAAAGAAAGAATAAGAATTGGGCATAACGAATAAGTGTTTATTAATTAGTGTTTATACGGATAATAATTAGTGTTTATACGAATTAGGGTTTGCGAATTAGTGTTTAAGAATTCTTAAGGGTTTAAGAATTAGGGTTTACGGATTAGTGTTTATGAATTAGTGTTTATGAACTAGGGTTTATGAATTAACGAATTAGGGTTTTGTTATTTGTTGTAGAGATAAGGGGGATAATAAAATAAGCAGGCCGTGCTATCTAGGGTTTATCTCTGTGCGTATTGATTAGGGTTTATTAATTAGGGTTTACTAAATAAGGGTTTATAGATTAGGGTTTAATGAATATTAGGGTTTAGGGCACAGCGATGTTTTGTACATCAATGTGCAAACTATTATTATTTATTTATTTACTATTATTATTATTATTATTTATTATAATAATAATAATAATAGTAATTATAATAATAATTATATATTTGTTTATTTATTGTGTTTAGTTATATTGTAATTTCTTCCTTTTTGCACAATGCCCTCTTCTTGTGCCATCATTAACACTATTATTAATAATATTATTTTTATTATTTGTATTAATTATATTATTTTTATTAATATTTTTATTAATATTAATAAATATTTAAATTATAATTATAATTAAAAGAACTGCAATTATAATGAATAATATTAATTATTGCAATTAATACAGCAAACGTAAAAGAAAAGAAAAAAAGAAATAAAATATAATTGTAAATATAGCAATAATAATAATAATAATAAGAAAAATTTATGAAGAATAAGAAGAAAGAATAATAATAATAAAGAATGTTGTTGCTAATAACACCAACAATCAGCAAAACAAAAATAATACGAACAGCATAAATAAGAAAAATATCCATAAGAAAAAGAAAAGAAAAAAGAAGAAAAAAAGAAGAAAAGGGTCTTGTGAATTTTCTCCGTGAATTTCTTCGTAAAGATGCAAAGAATTGTGTTGGTTGCCTATTGTTAGCGAAGAAGAAAAAAAAAAAAAAAAAAAGAAAAAAAAAAGAAAAAAAGGAAAGAAAAAAAGGTCTTGTATATTATTCTTGAAATTCTTCGTAATTAAAGCTGCATAAGGAGATATTCGTTATTCGTTATTCAATAAGGAAGGAGAAAAGAAAAAAAAAAAGAGAAAAAAAGAAAAAAAAAAGAAAATATCCTTAATAATATAATATTTTAGATCCCTCGTTGGTTTCCTCAACAAAGATAGGGAAAAAGAAGAAGAAAGAGAGGGAGAAAAAGAGGAAGAAAAAAGGAGAAGAAGAATAAAATAATAATAATTTATTCTTGAAATTCTTCATAATTAAAGCTACAAAGAGAAATAGACTCTAATTGTCTGAATTGTGTTGGTTGCTCGTTATTAACAAAATCCTCAATACAATCTTGTATCCATTTATAGAATTCAGGGTTTTGTTCAACTCTATTCTTATAAGGAGAAGTAGCAAAATGTTGACTTTGTTTAGCAATAGATACAAACATACCACGAACAATTTTCTTAACTAAATAAGTTATTAATCTTAATGGTACATAACGTATACCATGCTGAAAAGAACCAAACAATTCTAATGTAGTTTGTCTACCCTCAGATATAGGATAAAGAAGAAAAACAAGATCAGCAGATTGTATTCTTGGTATTTTTCCTTTTTCTGGTATATATTTACCTAAGAATTCTTTTTCTCCTTCTGGTGGTGATTGACAAAATATAATTACAGCACCACATTCCTCTAATGCATTAACACCAAAGGAGAACATAATTGTTTCCTTAAGACCTAGTACAGGGTAATCAAATGTTTGTCTAATTAATTGTGATGCCCTACTATAACTATATACTTTCTCTGCATGCTTAAACATTGGAGCCCAATTTCCGGCTAAGTCCGATTCATTCAATATTGCCAATACTTCAAATAATGCACAAGTTAATTTCCCTCGAACCTTCATAGATACAGAGTTATTCCTCTCTACTCTATAGGATAAATCTAAATACTTTCCTGTACACACAATAAGAAAAAAAAAAACACTTTATTTATTTATTTATTTATATTTATTTATTTTATTCTACTTTATTTTATCTATTTAGTCGTTTTTTTCATTATAGCAACAAGCAGGAGGCAGAGAGAAGAAGAGGAAGACAAAGGAAACGAGGAACAACGAAGAGAGGAAAGAAAGAGTAGGGAAGAAATAAACAGGAAAAAAGGAGAAAAAAAAAGAAGAATAAAAAGGATACAAAAGAAGAAGAATAATAAAAGGAGAAAAAAGAAGAATAAGAATAAGAAGAATAATTTACCTCTTTCCCTGATCCATCCTTCTTCATCAGACGAACTCTTGAATGCTAATCCTTTTTTATTGCTGCTTCTTCTGCTGCTGCTTCCTCTTCTTGTTAATGACATTTTTCTGCCCATATTTCTTAGTCCTGTTTTTAATTTAGTAGTACTTATTTTCCTCTCAGGGAAGCTGCTGCTGCTGCTGCCTCCATTACTACCACTACGTCCTACACATGTAGCTGCAGGAACAGGTGATCCTGCTCCTCCTGTAATATAACCATCTGCTGCTGCTGCTCCTGCTGCTGCTGCACTGCTGCTGCTGCCCTCAACACCACCACAAGATAAACGATTCTTTATAACCTGTTGTTGCTGCTGCTCCCTAACACTACTTGAACCTCCTGCTGCATGCGACCCAACAGTACCATAACTACTATGTTGTTGCAGCTCTCTCTCCCTCTGCTGCTGCTGCTGCTGTTGCTGCTGCTGCTGATGGTGATAATGAGTTAATGTACTTATAGATTCAGCAAAAGATAGACGAGGATCCTCGCATATTGCCTTTAATTGCGATAGATGGAACTGATCCAACATTGCATGCGCAATATTTATTTTCTTACGAAGATTATTTATATTTGTATCATTTCTTAATTGTTCTTGATATTTTTTTAGTAGCTGCAGCAGAACCTCTGATTCCTGTTGCTGTTGCTGCTGCTGCTGTTCAATTTGCTGCTCAAGTTGCTGCTCCAGCAGCAGCAAGTACTGATAAGCCTTGAATAGTAACTCCTCCTCTATATAGTGCTGCAATTTCCTCCATTTCTTTAATAATATTTGCTCTAATACAGTCTTGCTGCGCTGTGGAGGAACACGGGGGCCTCCGCTGCTGCTGCTGCTGCTGCTGTGGAGAGCAGCAGCAGCAACGCTGCTACATGCCTCCGCTGCTGATGCAGCACCTGCTGCTGCTGCACGAGCACCTGCTGCTGCTGCTGCGGCGGCTGATGCTGCTGCTGCCATCGCACTGTCAGCGCTGCTGTCCCCATTCGTCATATAACCCGATGCTGCTGCTCTCTCTTGCTGGTGCTGCACCCGCAAAGCTGCTAATGTTGCTTCGTCTGCAGCAGCAGCAGCAGCAGCTGCAGCAGCAGCAGCAGCTGCTGCTGCCGAACCAGGAATATCATCATCCCCTACAGATGTAGATGACAGAGGATAAGCTGATGAAGGACGCACATCTGCTGCTGCCTCCGTATGTGCTGCTTCCGCTGCCTTCGTCCCTGCTGCTGCTGCATCTGCTGCAGCAACAGCAGCAACAGCAAGAGCTGCTGCTGCTGATGGTTTCCGCTCAACAGGGTCCTTATACTGTTTTATATCTAATTCATCCTCTTCTCCCCCATCAGAAGGACCCTGATCATTATTAAGAATAGCTGGGGGCCCTACGGCCCCATGGGACCCCCCTGCAACAGGGGCCCCCCCAATGGGTGCGGCCCCTCTGTTGGCCAGTATGGGGGCCCCCTGGGGGCCCCCTTGCTGCCCATCTGGTGTCGTGGGGCCCCCACCTGCAGGAGTTAAGCAGGTAATAAGACGACTCCATATACCCCCTGGATCCTCGAGGGTTTGCTGCACAATTCGTGTAAATGTAGAGGAGAAACCCTCACCTCCTGCTGGTGCTACTGCTGTTGTTGCTGCTGCACCTGATGGTGCTCCTGCTGCTGCTGCTGATGGCGATGATGATGGTACGCCTGACGATGGAGGAAGGGCATCTGCTGCTTCTGCTGCTGATACATCTTTACGAGGGGTTGTCTCTCCTCCCTGCTGCAGCTGCTGCTGCTGTTGCTGCTGTTGCTGCTGCACTCGTTGCTGCAGCAGCTGCCGCGTCCGCTGCTCCCCAGCAGCAACAGGAGATGATGTATTCTGCGGAGGAGAGGGGCCCTCTACTGCTGAAGCAAATTCAGCGTCATCATCTGCTGCTGCTGTTGCTGCTGCTGCTGCAGGATCCAGCTGCTGCTCCTGCTGCTGCTGTTCCTGCTGTTTCTGACCCTGCAATTGAGGAGACTCCTGCTGCAGCTGCTGCTGCTTCTGCTGCTGCTGCTCCTCTGGGGTCTCCATAGGCAGTGCTGTTGATGGAGCAGCATTTGCTGCTGCGCCATTTGTTGCTGCTGCTGCTGCTTCAGGTGACCCATAACCACCCAATGACAAGGAACCATCTGCTGCTGCTGCTGCTGCTGCTGATTGTTCCAATTCTACTGGGCTGCCATCCTCTTGCTGCTGCTTATGCTGCTGCTGCTGCTGCTGCTCCTCCTGCTGAGCTCCCGCAGCAGCCTCTAAGGGCTCCTTACCCTTAGCGGCCCCCGCCTTGCAGCACTTTAAACAACCCATTTCTTCTGCAGGCCTAGCAGCAGCAGCAGCAACAGCAGCAGCAGCAGCAGCAGCAGGACTGCTGCTGCTGATGCGGTTGGGGCCTACTTACCTGCAGCCAGATGTAAGCAGGAAGGATGCTGTATCTGCTGCAGCAGCTGCTGCGATATACAAACACTTTAACTGATGCTGCTGCTGTTGCTGCTGCTGCAGCAAAAGAAAATGTTGCTTCTGCCAGATACCCGCTGCACCTGATCCTGCTGCTGTTTTTGCTGCTGCTGTTTCCTCCGGTTGCTGCAGCAGCAGCTGCTGCAGTCGTTCCTGCTGACCGAGCAGCAGATCCAGCGAGCAATTGCTCCTATGGGAGCAGCAATACTAGGAAGAAGCTGAGTAACTCGAGCTGCTGCTGGTGTTGCTGCTGCTGCTGTTGATGCTGCTGCTGTTGTTCCTGCTGCTGTTGTTCCTGCTGCTACCGTTGCTGTTGCTGCTTAGGCAGGCCGCACAGATCTGGTAGATCTTTAAGGAATACGGGCAGTTGCGGTGTTGCAGCAGCAGCAGGTGCAGCAGCAGCAGCTGCTGCTAGAGCTGCTGCTGCAGCTGCAGCTGCTGTGGCAGTTGCTGGTGTTCCTTGTGCAGTTGCTGCAACTGCAGCTACTGCTCCTGCTGCTGCTGCTGCTGCTACTGCTGACTGCAGCAGGCAAATGGACAGGTACGCTGCTGCTATCTTTGCTGCTGCGCCTTCTTAAGGGGCCTGATGACAAAAGGCAGCAGAATAAGGGAAGAAATTGCTGCTGCTGCAGCACCGGTTAGCTTGCAGCAGGTGGTGGTGCTGCTGCTGCTGCCGCTGCTGCTGCTGCTGCTGATAGCTCGGGCAACGATGAATAGAAAGGTTTACTTCTAGACTGCATTTTCCGCAGCTATATGTGCTGCTGCATGTGTTGCTGTTGCTGTTGCTGTGGCTGCTGCTGCCTTGCAATGCTGACGACTGCAGCAGCAGCAGTTGCAGCAGCAGCAGCAGCAGCTGCAGCAGCCTACGACCGCGTGATTGGTACTTCCGGCGATCTTATGCTTTTATAGAGTAATTATGTGTCTAAATGACACACAAAAGCAGCAAAACCTGAAGGCTGCTGCAGGAGGAGCAGCATGAGTGTCAGCAGCAGCAACAGCAGCAGCAGCAGCTGCTGCTGCTCCTGCTCCTGCTGCTGCACGTCTCGGTCGCTGCTGGTTAGAGGACCTCAGCAGCAGTAGCAACAAGCAGCAGCATCAACACCAGCAGCACTTTTAAATTCACAACTTGCTGCCTTGATGCCTGTCTGTAGGTATTATATATAACCGTTGTCTTCTTTTACCCTCCCAGCAGCAGCAGCAGCAGCAGCAGCGGCAGCAACACCAGCAGGGCCGCAGCAGCAGAAGAGGCAGCAGCAGTACTGGCAGCAACACCAGCAGCAGGAGTTGCAGCTGCAGCAACAGTCTGACATCACCGCAGCAGTTGCTGCTGCTCCTGCTGCTGTCTTCGCACACTTTCCCTGCTGTTCTGCATGCATGTTGTTGGGGCTTCTCCCTTGCTGGACAGGCCTATTCCAGCAGCAGCAGCAGCAGCAGAGCCTCCAACGCAGCAGCAGCAGCGGCTGCTGCTGCAGCAACAGCAGAAACTGCAGCAGCAACAGCAGCAGCAGCAACAGTACAGACACCATACAGCCCCAACTGCAACAGATGCATGCAGGCCCCATCATACCAAGAGGGCCTTGTAGACCGGCCCCTCCTGCTGCAGCAGGAGCAGGAGGAGGAGCAGCAGTTGCTGCTGCTGCTGTCCCTGCCCGCTCTGCAGCGGCCGCTGCAACAACACCGCATGTGAAGTCCTGGCGTTACAGCCACCAGCAGCAGCAGCAGCGGAAGCTGCTGCTGCTGTTGTTGTTGCTGCTGCTGCTTGTACCGAGTCCTGTTGTGTGTATTCATATAGCTCGCGACAGCCCGCGCTGCTCCACAGCAGCAGCAGCAGCCACACCTGCAGCAACAGCAGCAGCAGTTGCTGCTGCCCCTGAAGGATCTCTGCTGCGTCCTTCCGATTCCCGCTGCAGAGCAGCCACGATAGGAGGGACTAGTAGCAGATTGCTGCAGGTACGCGGCGGCAGCACAAGCAGCAGCAGGTGCAGCAGCAGCAGCAGCAGCAGCAGCAACAGCAGCAGGAAGGTTCGTGTATCCGTGGTAACTGCAACAGGAGTCAAGTGTCTTGACAGGCGATGGGAGTTGCTGCTTCCTGCTGCTGCCGCAGTTAAGGACGTGGCCTTGCTGCTGCAGCAGCAACTGCAGCCGCCGCCACCGTTGCTGCTGCTGCGGCTGTTGCACAGGGGCCGTCTGGTGTCTGCGGAGGAAACACTGCAGCAGCTGCTGCAGCAGGAAGAACCACCAGCAGCAGCTCCTGCATCTGCTGCTGCTGCTGCTGCTGCGGAGCCGCAGCAGCAGACTCTTACTCTCATTTGGGATACAGCAGTGCCTCCTGCAGCAGCAGATGCGGATACTGAGGAAGGCAGCAGCAGCAGCAGCAGCAACAGCAGCAGCAGCGATTCCTGCTCAGCAGCGGAGGCAATTGCTGCCTACACGGCAGCCAGTGGTGCAGCAGGCCGTGTTGCTGCGCTGCTGCAGAGGGAAGCTGAAATCCTAGCAGCAGCAGCAGCAGCAGCGGGTGGTGAGGATAGTGCAGCAGGAGCAGCAGCAGCAGCAGGACTGCAGCAGCATCCTGCTGCTGCTGCTGTTCATCGTGCTGCCTTTGGTGGCTCCGATGCTCCGCTGCAGAGCAGCGAGGAGTTGAATGCTGCTGTACAGACACTGCAGGAAGGTCTTGAACTGCAGCAGCAGCAGCAGGAGGAGCAGCAGCAGGAGCAGCAGCAGCAGGAGCAAGAAGAGGAGCTCGTAGAGTATTTTCCTCCACAGCCAAGAACACTCAAGGAGTATCTGCAGCGGCTTCTGCTGCTGCAGGTGCAGGTACACCCGAAGTTGCTGCTAAAGGTAGCAGCAGGCTCGTTGCTGCTGCAGCAGCTAGTAGAGTATGCTGCACCAGCAACACAGACACCGCAGCAGCAGAAGCAGCAGCGGTTGCGAGAACTGCTGCTGCTGTCTGCTGCTCCAGCAATGCTGCTGCTGCACCTAAGGCCTATGCTGCTGCTGCAGCAGTTCGCCTGGGAGCTGCTGCCTAAGGGGAGGGGATGGCGGGCGCTGCGGCTGCTGCTGCCTCCTCCTGCTGCTGCTATGCTAGAGGATGAGCAGCCTGTCCCGCTGCAGCAGCTGGTGCAGCAGCAGCAGCAGATGCTGCTGCAACGTGAGAAGAAAGAGCAGCAAATGCGTACACAGGAGATGCTGTTACAGGGACAGATGCAACAGCAGCAGGATAGGCAGCAGCAGCAGCAGCAGCAACAGCAAGCCACAGCCACCTGACACTAAGTGCAGCAGGGACTGCAGCGAGAGAAGCAACAGCAGCAGCAGCAGTCTGCTGCTGCTCGTTGTAATACCCCCTGTTGCTGTAGGGGATTTGCTGCTGATTGTTTTATCCGTTTGTTCCCGACTTGCTGCTGCTGCACAGTTGCAGCAGCAGCAGCTGCTGCCGCACAGCTGCAGCAGCAGCAAATACAGTTTTAAGGTACAAAGAAAAAAAAAGAGAAACAAATAAACATCCGTGTTGTCTTTTGAACAACTCCTAGCACCCCACACGATCCCAGACACGATCCCACTCACGATCCCAGACACGATCCCGGACACGATCCCACGCACGATCCTGTGCACGGTCCCGTGTACGATCCCGTGCACGATGCTAGAGGCGATCCCACCGGACTCCCAGACACGATCCCGCACACACGATCCCGAAGATAACAGGATAGATGGACCTAGGATACTTAGGAATCGAGCTAGGATCCGATCCCCAGTCGATCCCAGACGATCCCAACGATCCCAGACGATCCCGTGCAGTGGAGAACCTAGCCAAATCCCCTTTTTGCTTGGCGTCTCTCCTGTTGTGCCTATACTGCATAAAGTAGACACCTGGATGTTGTTAGCAGATGCTTTTTTTACACGATCCCAGGCGATCCCAGACGATCCCAGTCGATCCCAGATGATCCTAGACGATCCCAGACGATCCCAGGGTTTCGTGAGGGGCCCCACGCGAGGGAACTTACTGTAGCTGGACATATGATTTGAACTGGATACGATCCTGGACGATCCCAGACGATCCCATGCTATCCCGACCTCGATCCCACCAGTTCAGCGAGCAGTTTGCTGTAGCAGTTGTTGAGGTGTATCTGCAGGGGGTTGTTGCTGCGCTGCAACAGCAGCCTCCCTGTTGTCTTGTATTATTCTATTTGTTTTTTAATTCTTTTTTTAATTAATTAAATTAAATAGAGTAAAAATATCATAAATCTCCTGTAAAAGCGGCAAAAACAGCTGCAGCACAAACTGTTAGCTGTATACTGGGGGCCCTCCCGAGCATCTCGGGGGGCCCCCCCAGCTACTGGTACCCTGCGGTGCCTTCTCGTGCATAAAAGGGTTTTCTTCCGTTAAAAAGAATTAAATAAACAAAAAGAAAATAAAATAAGTTAAATAAATAGGCAAAGAAGACAGCAACAGGGAGAGAGAAGCTGCTGCCTTTTCTAGGGGGGTTTCGAGTGTACGGACACGCGCTAGTGACCGTGCAGCAGCAGCGGCGGCAGCAGCAGCAACAGCAGCAACAGCAGCAGCAGCAGCCGCAACAATAGCAACAAATAAGACATCAGCAATCTAAAATTACACTGTGCAGGTTTTCCAGGGGCCCCTCACGTCATGAGGGGCCCCTACCCTCTGCTGCTGCTGCCGCTGCTGCTGCAGATATATTCTTATGTGTTGTGCTGCAGCAGCACATCTGTGGGGCCCTTTTATGATTCTCCCTTTGGGGGAGGAGGTCTTCAATTCTATGCTCCTCTTGGGGAGCTGCAAGTTGCTGCCGCTGCAGCAGCAGCGGCTGCTGCTGCA